CCAATTAGCAGTACTATTAAAAAAAAACCCTCACCCAACCACTCATATTTCTAATCACACTTGTATAGGCTTTATTCCTTATTATTTTGTTTAATTTTTTCCTGCCTTTGAGGTACTATTTAAGATTTATTCCTTGCAACAAACATATGTTGTAACACTACTGAAAAAAGTATTTGGAGTCATATTTTTTTTTAATACTGATTATTTATTATCTACTACTTTCAACTTATCCTTGCTTCAGTCAGATTTTATTTATGAGTGATTAATACTAAAGTGTATGCTATTGAGCTCTCTCTGGACAGCAAAAGGCTGTTCCAGTGGTCTGTGTGTTCGTGGGCATTCTCTGTGGATCATAGAATCATACAATAGTTAGGGTTGGAAAGGACGTTAAGATCATAAAGTTCCAACCCCCCTGCAGTGGGCAGGGACACCTCACACTAAACCATATCACCCAAGGTTCTGTCCAACCTGGCCTTGAACACTGCCAGGGATGGAGGATTCACAACTTCCTTGGGCAGCCCCTTCCAGTGCCTCACCATCCTCAACAGTAAAGAACTTCTTCCTTATATCTAACCTAATGAGAGAGTCTTTTCACCAGATAGGAGAACGGAGGCATAAGTGTGTAAATCACGGCAATCTCCCAAGGGGGGATTGTTACAATGGCGTTCAATCTGTTCTGGTTTTCATGCCAAAGACACAGCAAAGAATTTCTTTGAAACTCTCTCAGCGAAAAAAAATGTTCCTTCACAAAACCTGAACGGGGGTCAGGCTGCTGGACGGCTCTGCCTGCTGCTGAACCTTCTGTTAGGGAAGTTTATTCTGTGCAATTGCATTGTGCATCCCCAGCCAGGATTTTCTTATGTAGTGCTGTCTAGATGAGAGTAAACTGGGTGCTTTTAAAACAGCATGTATGTAAATACTGGTGTAGACAGCAGAGCTGAATTTTAGTACGTAATAACTAGGTAAGATGAATAGTAATCCACATGGAAGAGTTTTCTAAGTATCCAGCCATATAAAATTCATCACAATATTGAAACTCCATCCCCTTTGCCTTGTTTCAAATTCTGTCATAAATCAGAATTCATTCATTAGCGTTTGCTAAACATTGTGCCTTTTGTCGTAAACCTTGGCTCAAGTTTATATATATGCCAGTAGATTTATATTTGTATAAATCTAATCTGGCTCAGACTTCTGTTGCTCTTTGTTTGAACACACAGATTCCATCATTCTTGCAGAGGTTTTACCAGAATTAGTCTGAAGCTAGGCTCCAAGAGGATCTCAGGGCCTGGCAGCCACTTTGAAACAAGGGTTTAAAAAATGGTTTGCACAAAGTCCCAGGAACACAAAGTGTAATATTTCACCTTTTTTTGTTGCTGGTATGGGTCTGAAACCAGGGTCTTGGACCAGATCGTCCCAAGCATGGAAGAAGGTCAGATTCATTAAAAATTTGATAGATAGCTCCAAACCAAAATCTGACCACTAATAGCTGTTTTTGAAAAAACAGTTCTCTCAAAAAATGCTGTTTTATTGGACTTAGGAAGTTTTGCAAGAATGTTTTGATTTCAAGGAAATTTTAAAGAAGAAACAAAGTGAGCACGTTATTCCAATAATTTAAAAACAACTTGCTTTGATTTTTTCCAAAATACTTAAATTTCATTATTTCATGATTCATTCATATCATAATACTTGGTTTAGGTAAAATTTTGACTTCAACACTGCTGTAATAAAGGGAAAATACATGTACATGTCTAAGAGAAACAAGATAATTTCAACACAGGCATGCAATTAAATTTACTCACATGGAGCACAATACAGGCAAAGAGGTCCACTGACTTAGGTTATTAGGGTTGATGTTGCATGGGATTATTTGATTTAATAAGTTTACCAATGTTCAAAGGAGGACATAGGTTCACACCTCATCTGGGAAACTGCTCTTATTTCACAGCTGGTAGTTGTCATCTTTCAACTGCTGTGTCAGAGACAACCTAAACTGCAGATGATTTAAGCTAACATGTTTGATTATAATTGTAGCAGAGAAATGCTTTACACAGCCAGTGCTGGTCTCTTCCTACACCAAGACAGGCTGGGTCTGTGCTAGCAGCAATCATTCACTATGTACTTCTGCATCATCATGGCAGCACAAGGATGTTTGCATTGACACTTCTGGGACTCGGAGTATTTCTCACTTCTCTCCTATAGTCTACTTGGGAAAGGGAACATGCAGACAAAAGGCTGAACTGTCCTCTCTTACCAGTCTGCATTTACATGAGGGATGTGTCCCTCTTTGATCATACTGGCTTAACCACCACTGAAAGAGCAGAACAAAGGAGAAACTATCAAAGACAGGCACTAGTCTGAGACATAGCAACTTACACCACTGTCTCCCACCACTGCTGGACCAGCTTGAGTTTGACCCAGGACATGGAGTTTCCTCCCCCATTAGGGCTGAGAGGACTTCAGTACAGTCAGCAGAGAAGCATGGGACAAAACCAGCATGGACAACAGATAATGTGTGAACAACGTAAGTGCGCAATGTAGTTTCAGATGTGTGGATCTGACAATAGAATCAAAGCTTTGGCATTTTCCATCCTTTTTGAGAATGGTTTCCTGTATGTAGGCTGTCTTTCTGGTCTTTATATATGCTGAATACCAGAACAATATATTTCATATAAGCTAAATATAGTTCCAAATATCAATACATATCTGTTACTTTATAGCGAAAAAATGCCTGCTTTGATTATATTTGGCAAAAAAAGAGTTAATGCACATGATGAGTCCTTTGTGCTGGGAAGATCTTGGATTGTGCTATTATCACTGCCAGCCCAGGCGGAAAACTTCAGGTACTGTTTCTAAAAATCATTAAAAAGATCATTCTCTTCTTTTGTGACAGTACATTTATATCTCTTTTACTGAGAGGTCTGCAAAGACACCCATGTTATCACAGAAAACAGGCAACTGCCTTTTTGTTTTCCAGGAAGAAATTTGAGAAGACAGATGAAAAGAACTACTAAATAACATGAAGTGCTCATCTGATACTGGCCATAGACTCCTCACTAACAGTAACAGTCTCTTGATCCTTCCTTACAGAGCACATGGAACAGTCGGTCACTGGCTTTCAGGTAAGACTTGGGTATTTCCTTCTTGCAAAATGATTGTGATTTAGAACTTCAGTATTAAACAGTATGTATGCATTTCCCATAGGAAAGTTGAAGTGAAAGTGTGTGGAAGCTGGCAGAAGACTGAAATTTGACAGAACTTTTCAATTTTAAAAGGAAATTGTCTAAAGCAAGCATTTATTTAGTTATTTCAATCTATTTCATTATATGAAAAGTTACCCTGCAGCTATTTCTGCTCTTATAATTTATTCAGAAGTGGAGAAGGGAGAAAGAATGACAAGTAATGAAACGGAAAAAGGCTGCTTGGTTGAGGCACACAGCAGAACAGAATAAAAACATGAAGTTACTAAGACTAGCAGCGTGTCTGTTGGCAAACGGTGGCAATCAAAGAGATTTTAAATATACGTTGAAAACAGATAGATCTGTACACAACAGGAGTGTTTACCCAAGCCTAGTTTTGAAAAGACATAATTAAATATAATGTAGAGTGAGTACTCTCACTTACTATGCCTGAGTGTAAGTAACAGGTACTTGAGAATTTGTAACTTTATTCAAAACATGCCAAAGAAAAATTTACTGTATGTTCTGAAAGATGCTTAGATGCTCAGGCATGTTAACATCCAGTGTCACACTTTATCGTAATGTCTGGGAAGAGCCTCACTGAAATCAAAGAAATTGGATGGTATTTCAGGTCCAGGTAACTGAAGTAGGTCACAGGGCTAGTCCTTTATTATTACTTTTTGTCCTGAAAATGAGTAAGTGAACACGTTTGTTATCTACACACTTTGCAAGGCATTAAATACACAAAACCAGAGGAACTGAGACAGCATAATCTTCATGGAACTACAAATACGTATACCATTAAAGATCACGCACCCAATATAAATACTGTTTTGTATCAGTTTAAACTCCTTGTTAACTGCTTCCCCCAGTTATTCACAATCTTCTACAGTTCTCTTCTTGGGGATACGGGAACAGTAGGAGTGACAAAATCATTCAGGAATCAACATTTTTGCATGCAAGTCATGCAGAATAAAATAGATCCAAAATTCCTACTAAATGCTGGTGGAAATGCCAAAATAAAGACCTGTGTTTCAAAATTCTGAGTGTGCCCCATATCAAGTGAAGCCTCAGAATATTTGGAAAACTGAAATAAAAGTTTTAGAAAAATACACTGTCAATAGTGCTTGTGGCAATGGCAGCTAAATGTCTGAAAACATCCCTGCGCGGTCCACTGAATGCAAACTAACAGGAGTATTGACACATATTGAAGGTTTTAAGTTGTGATTTTCACAGAGATGAAAATAAAAACAGAGTACATCAAATTACCAAAACTAAATAAAACAACACAAGTACCAAGGGCTGGTTTTCAAGACAGAGGCTTAAAGAATTGCCCACTTACGCTGTTCCTTATAATTTAATTCATGTATTCCCCACAACAGATGTGCAATCTGCATAAAAAGTTATTTAGAATCTTCCTAATTATAGCCAGTACTTCCACTGAATAGATTGGTCTTGCTGTTGGATCAACAGGATTTAACCTGCTATGAGCTTTATTACCTTCTAAGGAGCATTGTATGGAACAAAAATTGTATAAGTGTAAGCTCATTTCCAAACTGGGGGCCTTGTTTAGCAAAACAGACACCTACAATGACTGAAGAATTAAAATGAGTTTGAGGCTCCCCTCTCCATGTAACTGATCTATACTTCATGTAGAATGAGAAAATTCCTTGATTTTAGTCTTGAAGGAAAATAATGCAATGTAAATATTTTTTTCTATAGCCAACACACAATTTTTATTTCAGACAACCATATTTCTACCTAATTCTCTCGACCTCACTATGTAGCCCATTGAATTTAAATCAACTCCTGCACTGCAAAAACTTTCTGTATAAGAGGTATACAAAAGTGGGAATCAGGGATCAGTCTGGATCCTTTTAAGAAATAAAACACTGTGGAGTTTCAGGTTGCAGACCAGGTGCTTCAAAAATTGCCTCCCTGTATGTCAACTATATTATCGTTCTTTCGCGGGCCTTTTCTAAGCTTAAACATAAGTAGAAACATCCATACAGACTGCTCAATATTCTTATTTTTCAATATTCAAACTTATTAGGGGCAGGACTTCTATTACCCATCTGGTCTAGAGATGAATGTATGTTACAGCCTTCTGCAGTCATCTGTTCACAGATCTTTGTAAATAAAATTGTATTATTCTTGCAGCCAAAACAGAATAAAGAAAGGGAACAGATTTCCCCCTCTAACTGGCAGACAGAATTAGATAGTTCAGTTTGTTGGTAAAGAAGAAAACTGTATTTGCAGCTACCAGGTAATTCAGAAAGTGTTAAGACAATAAACTGATCTGTTTTCTTCTGTGTTGAGTGTAATAGTGTACCTGAATAAAGTGGCAGACCTTCCTGCTCTCAAGTGACTGTACTGCATACTTTCAGAGATGAGGTGAAACAATATGCTGAGCGTACCATTATTTACCCCATGGTAAGGCTGTCTGCCTAGTTTGCTTTTTAGAAGGAAGAGAGACACAAACTGGGGACCAAAGAATCTCTGAATGACTAAAACCAAGTTGTGCCATTTGACTCTCAAAAACTGTCTCCAAATAATGAACACAAAGAACAATAAAAGTTAACTGTTTTAATTGTGTGTAGCTCATGAAATGGCTGCTTCGTTCCAGCTGCTGCCCAAACAGCATCATGGGAATTGTTTGGAAAACACATCCCCTGGCTCATATCCCTGGGAGAATTTGCAGTATCGTCACCACTCAGGAGATTGTCTCTTAAGATGCTTGTCCAAACTTCAGTGCATCCGTGGAGGAGAAAGTACACTGAGTAAGCCCCATTACCTTGAAGAAATGGTTCTGCTGGTGGCAATAGCAGAAGTGCTGTTGGTTCTGGGTTTAGCTGTGGAATCAGCCTCTCTCTGCTCACCCACAACCTTTTATAAGAACTGCTGGATTCGGCGCTTCCCAGGTCTTCTGATTGACCTGCAAGAATCACAGAAGAGGGGAGCCCAGGTGCTGAAGATTTATGAAGAGGTCTCACCCCAGCAGTGCAGCAGAACCTGTTGCCTTCTGAGGAATGGTGAGTGTTCATTATCAGGATCATGGCATACATTAAGGTTTACATCATATCATATGAGGAAAAACATTTTTGGTAATTTTTATATAAACATTATATGAAGAAGAAATAATGGAAGAAAAAAAATTTTTTTTGATGCAGAAAAGCAGAGGCACATTGTAAGTGTTGCCCCATCTTCAGTCCCTTAGAGAGGAATTTGTAATCTGATCTTTTTTTAGAAGACTACATAGAAACACAAGAAAATTTCAGGATCTACTTTGAAATTTTAGATATCTGTTACAAAGCTTATGTTTTAATGCCAACATTAAAACAAGAACTCCTCAGTATCCAACACCACCTACTCCTTAAAGAAAAATCAATGCCAGTGATTCCAACAGGACTCCTCTTCATAGAGTATGGTACTAGACTAGGACATGGCTGGGGGAAAAGAAAACACACAATTTGTCCTTTGAAATACAAGAATATTTATTTTCTTGGAATGAGAAGTTTTTTATCCTGTGTTTACAGCATGTTTCTGGTGCAACCTGGGTATAATGTTAGTATGAACAATAAAGTTGCAGCAATAAATAATAGTAGCTATTCAGCTGGCAATCCCTTTAGCCTAGCCTTGTAAACTCAAGGCTCAGAATAAAAATAAGAAAAATCATTGCATGTCTTAAGTGCAAGACTTGACTTTATCACACTGCATTAGTACATTATAGGAATATGTTTTAGATTGTCTTCTTTGATAACTTTTAGAAATGCTCCACTCACTGCATCTGAGATGTGAAGAACTGGTAGGAGGAATACAAGCTAAAGCTTATTTAATCAGAGACACATTTAGAATTTGCATGGCTATTCTACTCCTTTTCTCCAGGTGTAAAATAACCATATAATTATAAGCAGTTCTGCTTTTCTAACTGGATGCTTAATTACTTTGCATGATAATGAGAGAACCACAGATTTAAAGTAGTATGGAGCTGCCCAGTATTAATGATTTTCTGATGCTAGACAACATAATAACATGCAAAATGTAATGGTAATTATGCTGATAAACTCATTTATTTTTTTGTATGATAGTTTCCTGCAATCTGGCAGTCTTCTACCATGGAGCCCTTCATAAGAATATGAATTGCCTGCACATATCTTGCCCAGCATTGGAAAGTTGCATACTAAAGGCTAAAATCAATGTCATTTTGTACAACATCACAACAGGTAATTAAGCATTTCATTTAAAAAATAGCAGCTATAGGAAATCTTAAAATTACACTAGGTCAGTTGCTGTGCTAGAAGATCTTCTGAAGTAACATCCAATGCTAAAATAGCATAAAACTTTTTTCCTTTTTCATTAACGTTCCTACTTCTGAGAATACTTGCCTCCTTTATTCCACTCCATATATGAGAAAGGACGTTGAAGATACATCCTGCTCTCAAGATTCATGCTCTGAGTACCTAATCCGTACTATGCTTGGCCCAAAGACTGTACCAGATCTGAGAGACTGAGAGGTGAGGTTACCATACTCCATGTCCCCAGATCGAACCAGTAGCAAGGCTGAGAATTTATTCTTAATAGGCTCATACCAAAGGACACACATACCAAAGTAACACAAACACATAAAGCAGACACATGAACACAGGGAGCACCAAGAGCCTCATCCTGCTTTTTCTGGCTGCACAGTGAAAAAATACATACACACATATACATACAATGCAGTTTCCTCCAGCAGCTTGACTCAGGTGCTCAATCTGCCCAGTTTGGACCCCAGTCTCCCAGGTATGAGTCCCCAGGGGTCCAGCCACCCTCCAGTTGCTGGTGCAAACTGTCACACACACATGCACACACATACACAGCTTGCTGAGACTCCCCTACTCCCTGTTAGCTTAGATCTCTTTCCTCACTTTTGGTTCCTTCCCTAAGCATCCCAAAGCAAGTCCTGCGCAATTCCAAAATGCATTTCCCTTGCACCCCATAAGATGTCCCACAGCCTTAGGCTGTGAAAGCCCCAGTTCAGAAGGTGTTGATGGGTATTATGTGCTCCATTTTTGTGTATACATATGAGCTTTTATCACATAAACTAACGTTGTTTATGATTTAATAGGGATTGATCCAGATCTTCTGATTTTTGAGAAACTGACATCGAAAGAGCTAAATACTCACTCTTCACCAAGTAAATATGAAAGGCAAAACAGCACAAAGACCACTGAGTGGGAAAGATGCCAGCATCATAATGCCACATCAAGTTCTCTTCTGCTCCAAGCTCCATCTTCTACCACTAGCCATGGATTCATAGCAAACACTTACACCTTCAGCACAAGCCTGACAGTTCAAAACACTGAAGTTACTACTTATTCCACTGCAGAAACTTTTCCATCAGATGATCATTTTGCTAAGAGGACAAGCACTTCAGTAAGCACTAGGTCAATCACCACCTCTGACAAGCCTGTGCACTCAACTTTGATATCCAGATCTGCTGAGGTATTATCCCACATGCCCACTTCTCGTCTGAACAGCAGTAAGCAGCACTTAAATGAAACCAAAGGCTACAGTGGTAGAAATTATACTTCAGATAATGAGGCACCTGCCTGGGAAGCTGCAGCTTTGGGTGTCTGGTTGATTCCTATTATTCTTTGCTCTTCTCTCATCTTCCTTTGCTGTTGTACTGTTGCTTTCACAGCAGGGCGTTGCAGCAATAGGAGAGGTCAGTATAAGCCCATAAGGAAAAGAACAATGTCAAGACAATTTATAAAATATACTACTGGCAATTTGTAAGCTATTGTCACTATCCTTATTTTGGAACAAATACCTTTTGAAAAATGGATCGTGTATACCAACTTATCTCTTTTAAAGAACCAAAGGTAATTTTCACTGATGGTTTCAGAATCTTTCAGTTGTAATTTATTTCTTAACAGATAAAACGCAATTCCCCTAAGTACACATTCATAGCTCCCACTTCACACTCAGAGGCATTTGAGCACATTCACAATCTGACCCAGACTAATGCCTAACAGTATACACTTTCCCTGACTTAAGAGAGCAGATTCACTGTAGCTGTATGTGTCCTTTCCCCTGACTTTGAATTAACCTGAGAAAACTGTCATAAGTAAAAAAGATCTCATTATTTCTATAAAAACAATGGAATGTCAATTTTTATCCAAGTTCTAGATTTACTTTTTATCCCCATTATCCCTTGTATTGAGACAATTTACCCATCACTCTCTACATCTTCAAAGATAAACACCAAAAAGAACTCCAGTCCCCAAAACTACTAAATTGCATTCACTCATTCACTCATACCCAATCATCTGATCATTCAATCTGTATGCTTTACTTTTACCCCACTTCTTATTTCACTCTTCTGATAACAATCACTTCAAAAGTTTTCCAAGCCCTTTCAGAAAAACCTTCAGACTTCAACTGCTTTTTAAAAATTACTTGCTGTGCAGTGCATTGACAAATCCATTCTAAGGTTAAGGAAAACAAATGCAGCTAACATTCCTTCATGCCTTGCAATTAGCATCAGTCTGTCTTGTTCACCTTGACTTGCCTTTTCTTGCCTACTCATAATTTATATCATTAGCTTTTTAAAGTAGGGACAGTAATTTAATGTATGTTGCACAAGAATACAGAGTGTTTTGGAAGCTTTATAAGTTAGCTCCACCCCCTTTTGTTTCCTCATCCTGTATACTCTATTCATAAAACTGCTCCTCCTGAATATAAATCAAGTGACTAGATCAACAAGTAGCAAGGTAGTTCCTTGCCATACCTTACTCAGAAAGTTTGCTTAGCAAAGCAAACATTTTCACCAGTAACCAGAATTGTTCTTCCTCTTTTAAACTTGTTGATGTCTCAGTTTCTCACTTTTGTCACTTGCTTTTAGAAGTTTTCATTTCTTAGGCAAGTGTAAATGTTATAAAAGGGAAACAATAAAAACTAAAACTGATTGTCACATCTATTTGGCAGAAAATGATTTTAAAACTAGTTCATGCAGTGTTTAAAGACTACACTACAGTGATGAGGTTGTAAGGCCACATGAATTCCTAATTAGTTGAGAAGGTTGGTTTCAGAGGAAAAGACCTCTCTAAAATTACATTTTAGCCCACATTGATTAGCAGTGTAGCTGAGAAAAATGAAGTTTAAAAAATCCCCTTGTTCGTAGTATTTGATTTACCTTGTATGCTAATTTATATGTAACAGAAGAGAAGCTGACACAGGGAGCGGGGTTATTTAATCAACTGAAATAACACAAAAGAAATGCCTTCTGTTTTAGCTAGAAAAATTAGTATTAGGTATGATTTGTTTTTATGGGCAGTTCTGTGCTTATATGTAGTGATGGAAAATCTAGAATTGCACCCACTGCATGATGTACTTGAAATTTGAACAAGCTTTTATCATCAGATTGTACTTTCCTTATCATGTACTTTCATCATGTAGCTGAATCCAGCACAGTTTAACTATGACTAAAAATTTCAACTAAGAATGATGAGACCCCAAGGGCACTTCTTAGTGAGTTAGTTGACAGGTATTCTTTTCCAGGATTTTAACACCAAAAGGAAAGGAACTAGAAGAAAGGAACCAAGATACTCTATATTGCATCAAAGGATTAACATGGTAATACGTAAATAAAGAATGTATGTCTCATGTGATGTGTTCACCATCTTAGAGTAACCTTTATGGATCTGACCCTGAAATGGTTAGTAAAGCAATCCTTTCACTAGATGAAATATGCTCCAACATGACAAAACCAAATCTCTGCAGGAAGGTATTAGTTTTAATAGGAAGAATTCATAGGCAATATACTATTTGCTTTCAAACAAGTGGTTTTTTTCACCTTTTACTCTCAAAAGTAACTTCTATCTGATCATTCATCAGCTGCGTGATCTACAGCAACTCAGAGACATCTCTGGTGTCCATGGTTCCATCTCAATTAGTGACTGCATAGTGTACTTAATAGCACCTTGATGCTCTTTGATACTTGCCCTCAGTATTATGTTGTGAATTATATAATGGAACTAGAGCCTCAATACTCACCAGAAAAAGGAAATTAGACAAGTGAAAATTTGCATGCACAAATGATTCTGGGACGAGATGGAATGACTAAGATCGTGTTGTGGACAGTTCTTGGTTTGTTGATTTATAGAGAAAAAAAATAGGTAGGAAAGGGTTATGTAAAGCACAGTAGCAAGACTATTTTATTACAGACCATGAGAGTCACAAAAAAAACAAATACATACCTTTTGAGTATGAGGGAAAACAAGAAATGGGTAGAAATGGGTTTGTCCAGACAACACATTATTCCTAGGCAACTGTCCTTTATCCCTTGTGTTCGCAGCAATGCTGCAACACCCTGAAAACAGGGCAAAAAGTGTCAACTCCAGTTAGGACAATCATGAGATTATCTGTAGGGTTTTACCAGCTCTTCACACCCAAGTCTGTCACATTCATATCCTAGGGCTTGGTAAAGTTACAAGTAGTTGTAACACCTGCTCTCCTTGCCGAAGACTGAATTATGTTGCTGTACAGGTCTTCTCTAGTCTGAGCAAGAGATTATGCTTAGTGTCCAAAAGCCCTTCTTTAAGGGGCAAAAGTGTGAGAGAACATGGAAAAACAACCTCAAAGAACTATTTAGTGATACTTTTTACATTTCACAACTCCTAGGACAGTTTACTTAAGACATGTCATGACAGTGATTACAATAGCTTCTAGATGCAAAAAATTAGCCAGAATGCTGACAAAACAAGCTCTTTTCCAGTTTGACCAAGCAAAAGATCTCAGGCTTTCCTTGGAATGTTTATAAGAGAAGCAAGCCTGATTGCTTGATCTGTCACCTGTCTACATTTCTACTTAATAGTAATGTGATCACTTTCTCGTGCCAAGCATGTACATACACACAGGAATGTGTAGAGGGATACATACCTTAGAATCATACATTTACATTATAATGTACATTAAATACATCCTTAGAGACCATTACTAAGGATGTACTTCTTACTGTGCTGTACATCTGCTTAAACTGTATTACTCTTTAATTCTTCACAGTTTTTAAACTTCAGTGCACATTTTCAGTAAGATGGTCTGCGAGATTACACAGGAAAATAGATGTGTAGTATAGTTCATAAAAACACATATTATGCATCATTAAGCTTGGGAAGACTCCAACTGGAGTTAAGATCCCGGTGTCCTAGGTATTCTACATAGTTAGAGAGAAATACTGTCACCCTCAAACACAGTTTAAAGGCAGAAACAGAAAAACAGAAAAAGAAAACATCCAATGTAAGAGCTCAAAATACAAAATGCTGTTGATCTTGTCCAGTGCATTACACAAGTTCTGTACCGTAGCAGTAGGATCTTGTGTGGTAGGACCAGTAGAATAGCAAGTAGAATTGCAACCCTGGACTTCAGCAGGGCAAACTTTAGCCTTTTCAAGCAATTGCTAGGGGAAGTCCCATGGGCAAGGCTGCTTGAAGGTAAAGGGGCCCAAGATAGTTGGTTGGCATTCAAGGATTGCTTTTTCCGAGCTCAAGATCAGAGCATCCCGACACGTAGGAAGTCAAGGAAGAGGGCCAGGAGCCCTGCCTGGCTAAATAGGGAATTCCTGGGTATGCTCACGTGGAAGAGGAGAGTTTACAGGTCATGGAAGGAGGGGCTGGCCACCTGGGAAGGATATAAGGCTGCTGCTAGAGGATGTAGGAAGGCAGTTAGGATGACTAAAGCCTCCTTAGAATTAAATCTGGTGAGAGGGGTCAAAGACAGCAGGAAGAGCTTTTTCAAATACATGGCAGATAAAACTAACACCAGAGGCAATGTAAGCCCGCTGATGAATGGGATGGGTGCCCTGGTGACAGAAAATACAGAGATGGCAGAGTTACTTAATGCCTTCTTTGTCTCTGTCTACTCTGCCGGAGGCAGTCCTGAAGAGCCCTGTACCGCTGAGACCTCAGATGAAGTCAGGTCAACGGAGCGGTCTGCCTTAGTCGATGAGGAATGGGTTAGAGACCAGTTGAGCAATCTGGACATCCATAAATCCATGGGTCCAGATGGGATGCACCCGTGGGTGCTGAGGGAACTGGCGGAGGTCATTGCTAGACCACTCTCTATCATCTTTACCGAGTCTTGGGAAACGGGAGAGGTGCCTGAGGACTGGAGGAAAGCAAATGTCACTCCCGTCTTCAAAAGGCAAGGAGGACCCGGGTAACTATAGACCGGTCAGCCTCACCTCCATTCCTGGGAAAGTGATGGAACACCTTATCCTTGGTGCCATCTTAAGGCATATCAAGGATAAGAGGGTTATGAGGGGCAGTCAACATGGCTTCACCAAGGGGAAGTCATGCTTGACCAATCTTGTAGCCTTTTATGAGGAAATAACACGGTGGATGGATGATGGCAGAGCGGTGGATGTGGTCTACCTTGACTTCAGCAAAGCATTTGACAGTCTCCCACAGCATCCTCACAGCTACATTGAGGAAGTGTGGTCTGGATGATCAGGTAGTGAGGTGGACTGTGAACTGGCTGAAGGAGAGAAGCCAGAGAGTTGTAGTCTATGGGGCGGAGTCTAGTTGGAGGCCTGTATCTAGTGGAGTGCCTCAAGGGTCAGTTCTGGGACCAGTATTATTTAATATATTCATCAACGATTTAGATGAGGGAATTGAGTGTACTATCAGCAAGTTTGCTGATGACACTAAGCTGGGAGGAATGGCTGACACGTCAGAAGGCTGTGCTGCCATCCAGCGAGACCTGGACAGGCTGGAGAGTTGGGCAGGGAGTAACTTGATGAAATATAACAAGGGAAAGTGTAGAGTCCTGCATCTGGGCAGGAACAACCCCAGGTTCCAGTATAGGCTGGGGAACGACCTGTTAGAGAGCAGTGTAGGGGAGAGGGACCTGGGGGTCCTAGTGGACGGCAGGATGACCATGAACCGACACT